AGCGAACCTGGTCCACTGCAGTGTCTACAAACGTGCTTATACACATCTAGATGTGTATAAGAGACAGCACACACACACACACACACACACACACACACACACACACACACACACACCACACATGCCCCACTTGTTGATTGCTCTATCTCCTTAAAATCTCGGCATTATTTACAGATAGGCAGGACACAAAACTCACCATCTTATCCACTTCCCCAACCGCCATACCCAGAGTGACGTTCGACAGAATCTGAAAAGAAATAATCACAACAGAGCAGCAGATTAAAAGAATGTTAGTAAAACAAAGGGCAAAAGAAGATAGTCCCTGCTGCGATATTGATCCTGGAGCCCAAAAAAAATATGGTGGCCAAGCCAAGCACAGAATAATTACATCGGGTAAGGTCCGTAAGGAAGAGGGGATACGATTGAAAACACAGAGAGAGAGAGAGGAAGAGAGAGAGAGAGAGAGAGAGAGAGAGAGAGGAAGAGAGAGAGAGAGAGAGAGAGAGAGAGAGAGAGAGAGAGAGAGAGAGAGAGAGAAGGAGGGAGAGAGATTTCCACCATCACAAATGGGAGTACTCAAAAGCGTCCTTCATACCAAGCAGCAGATGCTACAGTTGTATTATGGACAAGGCAGCATGAACCTGTGACACGAACGAAGATTAAGAACGGCACATCACATCGTACTGACCAAGATTTTAGAGGATGATAAGATCAACTGTGGACAAACCAGAATCCATCCCATTTTTTTAGATAATTTAACCATAATTGTCAAGAAAAAAGGACTCAATACATAGATCTTACAGATTCATACTATGAAAAGCCGGAGGCTACAGTTTAGGTGTTGCCCTTCCAAGGGAGAGAAGTTAGAGAAGTGCAACATTTAAACTTCTCCCCCTTGGAAGTGCAACGTTCATAAATCTTACTTACAGTGGTAACTTCACAGTTCAGAGTCTTCAGACGGAAGTCCGAGGCAGCAATTCTATAATCTTGCCTCTTGAGCCATAGCTCTTCTCCAAGGTCCTTATGGCGGTTTCTGGTGTCCATTATATGTTCTATTCGATTATTTTTCAATATAAGTTTTACAACAACAACCAAAAAAAAAAAAAAAGGTTTCACAACTTCATTTTGTTTAGTAACTTCATAAGTTTATATACCCAATGACTGACAATCTCTGGATCCTCCAGTTCGATCTGGATCTCGTTTATGTCCAGACACAGGTAACCCTGAATGTGGTCCGTCCCAAGGTCATTTTCAGGGAACCACCAACTCAGCCTTTATGGGTGGGAAAAGGGAGAGGGGGGGGGGTCAGAGGTCCTCCTCCGGGGCTGTGTTTGTTGTGGAGGTATTTGTTGAAGGCAACGGGATAACCAGAGAGTTGTTTTTCCTCTTTTATCATCTCCGTTTTTGAAATATTTTAACCTTCCTGCTTCCCCCCTCTCCGCCTTCCTGACCCCTTTTAAAACCCCTCTAAACAAAGTAAAGCCCTCCCAAATGCAGGTGCGCCCCCCCCCCCCGCCCAACCACCAAGTCACAGCAAAA